CAGCAACCGCTACGTCGAGCACGAGGTGACCGACAAGAGCGGCAAGTACAGCTAGCAAGGTGGACAAACAAGGTTGTGAGGCCGACGAGGTCGGTGTACTCCACGCCTACCTGTCCTTCCTTTTCTTAGAATTTACCGTGACCGCCGACCAATCCGGCGTACCGTTCGAGGCACCGGCGTCACCTGCGAGATCACCCCCAATTCCCGACTAATGACGGCAACGAGCAATGGAGCGCTCGTTGCCATGATTGAGAAACTGCAGCAGCAAATGCGTGGGATGGCACTCCAGCTCGAGCATGCAACACCATCCGTAAGCGGCATAAGTATGCGCTCAGCACCACCGTCGTCTAAGAAGTCGAAGGATAAGGACGCGAAGTGCCGTCTCCTCGAAGGCACTGAAGTATTTCCCACCCTATGATTAGACTTGAGTACTTCCGAAAGAAGTACGAGCACGCCTTACAAACACAGACGCTAATCAACGGCTCAACGTGGACAGACGATTTCAAGGCGTTGGTAATGATAAACTTCTTAAGTGGGCAAGCATCTCGATACTACATAATAATAGTGCGGAGTGGAAACGGAGCTACCCAAACAAGAGCATCCCATAAGCAAAGCTTTCCGAATTCGGCTGCAAACTGAGCCACCTTAAGGTCAATGACCGTTTGAAGTGCTCCAAGCGATTTGGTGACTCGCGGAGCGAGTACCTAGAATGCCTCAAGTTCATCGAAGGACTTATGGAAGGTTACCACACGCAGTAATTGATGCAAATCTTCTGTAAAAATTTTGTCCGGTACTTGCAGAGCATGTCTACGCCAAAACAGATCTTACCAACCCTGTCCGTCTTGCCGAAGCTGACCGCGCCAGAGCGCTTCTTTACCTACTTCGCGGCGGCGGCCGAAAATTTGGTTTTGGAAAGCGCCGCCTAGGCGGACGCGGACGCGGTGAGCACAAACATAGGGCTAGATCTCCATATAACACGCACCCAGGTGCCGCTAGACAGAATGACACGGCAAAAGGCAATGCGGCCAGTATCGCAAGATGCTGCGTTTGCAACGACCCAACTCACAAATTCACAGCTTGCCAGTTCGTGGTCAAGGACAGGCAACTCACTGGAGCATCAGCAAACGCCGTTGAAGTCGCCACTAACAACTTCGACTACATCGGCGACTCTGATCACGGTGGCGAAATGCTGCGGACGCTGAGGTTAAATATTACCCCGCAAAATGGCTCCTCTACTCGGGTGCTACTCACCACATATGTAGTGATCGCAACCTTTTGGTCGGGTTTGGCGCCTACATATTTGCCAAGGTAGCAGACGGTACCGTAATCACAGCCACCCAGAAAGGAATCCCGAAAACGTTCCTCTTGACAAATGTATACCATTTTCTGGGTGCCTGCTTCAGTCCGTATAGGACACTTTGCCATTATGGCGGTTTCTAAATCCTTCTGGTGGAATCATATAAATTTCTTACGAAAATATCCATTCAGAAACGCTGTGGAGACATCGATTTGGTGGATGTGGTAATTCTC